AATTATTGAATGAGTTACAAGGGTTTGGGACTGGAATTATGGAATGCTTGAATAAGTTGGTGATTAATTTATTTGACATACCCAGATGATACGTTCCTGTGATGTGAAATGTGATAATTATTAGGAGTTCATGTCTTGGTCATATGGCATAGGTCAATTTGTGGCTTTTATTTCCTGATTGCTGATGCCTTGTATACTGCCTTTTGGATCTATTGAGAATTTCATGCATAAAATTGAATGTTGATGGGCATAATGACATTTACATTTTGAGTGAGCCTGTTAGCAAATTTCAAGATAACCATTGAGGTTATCAACGCTCCTCTAGTCACTATCAAAAAAAGGAGGATAGAAGTTTCTTTCATTCACAGTTGCCATCTCTATTCACATGGTTCTAAGATTCCAAGTTCCTTTAATAAGAAACTGGGCTCTGAATAAAGAACAAATTTGATCAAGCTTTTTCCGAATAGTTAAAATTACACTTCTGCATCATGGTTATTGTATGTTGCAAGCATGTTATTCTTGCCTCCCCTTTTGACAAGATCTTTTGATTTAATCAACAGGGAGGAGTTTTCCTTTAGGTAAGAAATGCAAAAGAAGTTGTTTCTTACTGGGTTTTAGATGACAGGTGCGAGGTGTAGGGACATTTTGAAATGGTTCCCAAATGCAATAACTATACAAAGAGCAGCCTTATTTCCACATGATAGCAATGACAAACATCCTTTGGATCAAACAAATGAATTTGTTTCATAGTTTTAAGTGGTCAATTTCTTCAAGTAGGTTGAAATGACTGGTATTTTTTTCTGGAGTCATTTGGATTTATCTTTTTTTGTTTCTTTTTCTTTTTTGATTGGGTGACAATTATGCTTTAAGCTGGAAAGTGACTATTTTAACAGATGAAGGTGACATGTTCACATTCAGTTTAAGTCAAGACTCTTACTTTAAGTTAAGGTGCCTTGCTGACAGTCCCAACCACCGCAGATAGTTTTGTATTTGGTTATTGTTTTGTAAACTTTATAGCCTCTGCGCTATATGCTATACGCGTCATGTGGGACATGGACAGTTGCTTTTGCTTAAATCTTGATGGTAATTGGAACTTCCTTCGCAGCTCAACTTAGCTTAGCTTAGTAGTACGCATCATGTAAGTTGAAGGGTAATGTGACTCTTTGGTTGAACTCTAGTCATTTTCACTTCTCAATTCTCAAGTGAGATTAGATGAGTCAAGCCACTTGTTAATCAACTACTCATGTTCAAATTTAGACATCCATGTTTTGGCTCAGCTTCTCAGTTTCTCACGTAAAGGTCAGGCTGCCTTTGTCAAATCTTTAGCTAACCACCTTGAACTACAAGGATTAAACTTCACTCATCTCAATGGATGCAATGCTAAAATGTGCATAAATCGTAACGTATACTAAAATGCATACAAAAATATATCCGTGTGTTTTATTATAAATTGTACAGTGTAATTTACAGTAAAACATTAATTTTTTAGTTTTTTTTAGTTTTTTTTATTTTTTATGCTTTTCAAGCTTCTTTTTATTTTCTTCTTTCTTTGTTTTTTCTTTTAATATTTTTTTATTTAATTTAGTTTATTAATATTAACATGGTTTGATGAGTTAATTCAAATTTTTTATAATTAATTTTAGTTTGTTAATGTTAATTTTCTTTGTATTTAGTTATCATACTTTCATCACACATATCTTAGGTTTCAAAGGTTAACCTGATTTCACGGGTTAACCCAATTAATTATAGGTTAACCAATTAATTTTTTTTTTATTTTTTTACTTTAATAATTTTTTATTTAATTATTAGACTTTTATAATATGAATTCCGAGTTTAATAGGTTAACATGACTTGACGAGTTAACTTAAAAAAAATTATTTTTAATTATTTTTTTTATTTAGTTTAGTTTGTTAATATTAAATTTTTTTCTAATTAGTTATCAAAATTTTATGACATATATCTCAGATTTGACAGGTTAATATAGTTTCATGAGTTAACTCAGTTAATTATGGGTTAACCCGTTAATTTTTTTTATTTTTCTTCATTAGTTTTTTTCTTCATATTGGTTTTTTTTCTTTATTTTTTTAATTAATCTATTTAATTATTATATTTTTATGACACGACCTTACAGCTAAATCCACATCCAAGGCTCTTGGATTTGGTATTGCAACCAAACTCACTTAAACTTGAGTCATTCAAGTTTAATATTATTATTAATATTATAAATATTACTCTTGGGTGAAACATTGTAGCTAAACCCAAGGTTTTTTGATATATTTTTACGTAAAGACTTAACACTCTTTGATTTTAGTCTTTTTTGATATTTTTATGCAAGGAAAAAAAATCAACCTGCTCGTATATCTTTGTTTGTTTTTACCTTCTTCTATTTTTTTAAGCTTTTTACTACAGACTGCATAATGTAGTGAAAAAGCTGATGTCTTTCATTTTTTTTTTTACTTTTTGGCATTTTTCTTTGTTTTTTAAATTTACTTTTTTAATATTAAATTTTTTCTATTTAATTATCAAACTTTTATAATATGGATCCTAAATTTGACAGGTTGATTCAGATTTTTTTCCTTTTTCTTCATTCATTTTTTTTCTTCCTGTATGGTTTTTTCTTTTTCCTTTGTAATTAGTCTTTTTTTTTAATATAGTTCATTAATATTAAATTTTTTTCTATTTAGTTATCATACTTTTATTACACGAATTCTAGACTTGATAGGTTAACTTGATTTGGCAGGTTAACCCAATTGATTCAGATTTTTTTTTCTCATTAGTTTTTTTCTTCCAATGTTTTCTTTTAATATTGTATATAGTCCACAGTGAAAAAACTGATGTTTTTAGTTTTTTTTTCAATTATTTTTTTATTTAATTTGTTGATATTAAATTTTTTTCTATTTAGTTATCATACTTTCATGACATGAATCTCGGGTTTGACAGATTAACTCAATTAATTTATATCTTTTTTCTTTTTCTTCATTTATTTTTTTTATTTTTTTATTTTTAATTAATTTTTTTGTTTAATTTAGTTTGTTAATGTTAATTTTTTATTTAATTATCAAACTTTCATAACATAGATCCCGGTTTAACACAGTAAATCATGGATAACCTGTCAATTTTTTTTCTATTTAGTTATTAAATTTTCTCAACATGAATCTATGATTTGATGTGTTAACCTGGTTAATTAAAAAAAATCATTTTCTTCATTAGTTTTTTTTCTTCCTATTGGTTTTTTTCTTTGTTTTTTCTTTTTGATTAATCTATTTAATTATCATATTTTTATGGCACGTCTTTGGAGCTAGATTCACATCCAGAACTATTGGATATGGTATTGCAATCAAACTCATATAAACTTGGATCATGTAAGTTTAATGTTATTATTAATATTATAAATATTACTCTTAAGTCGAGTCGTTATAGCAAAACCCAATACTTTTAAGTATGACTTTATAAAAAAATTTAATATTTTTAAATTTTAATTTTTTTGATATTTTTTATATAAAAAAATTAATCTGTGACATTATGTGAGTTATCTAACTAGTAACAAGTAAAAAGGATCGCCTGTCAAGCTGAAACAGATGCGGGAAATTTCACCTTTTTCACCATTTCTATGTCATGATCCTTGCGAGGAAGCTAAATGCCACTACCATACATGCATACAGTTTAGTACTCCTTACGCTAGCTACTGTTTTAGCCTGAGAAGGTGAAGGTGCTGGTGCCTCGCCCTTGGGAAGGAAGAACAGTTGTGGCAAGCTTCTGTTTCAGTTCGCAGTGCTTGCTTGCATACACTGCAAATATGCCATTCTTTCCCTGGTTTTTCAAGAGTAGTAACATTATTACCGGTAGCTAAAGTGTAATATATATTCAAAGTGGATGAAGCTTCCTTCCAAAAACGTGTCGCACCAGAAACAACCGAGATATATATGTATGTATGTATGTATGTATGTATGTATGTGGCAATTAAAAGGAAATTAAATTATAACTTAAATTTTAATGATGTTAAGAATCTCTTTCATAATTAATTTATATTATTATTATTTTTTCAAGATAAACTAAACAAGGTCTAATATAAAAGCAAAGTCTTAAAATTATTGTCAAAATATGTTATATATGTGGCAATTAAAAAGAAATTAAATTATAACTTAAATTTTAATGATGTTAAAAATCTCTTTCATAATTAATTTATATTATTATTATTTTTTCAAGATAAACTAAACAAGGTCTAATATAAAATTAAAATCTTAAAATTATTGTCAAAATATGTTGTATTATATTAGACTAATAGATAAAGATATGTAGTTTATCATAATAAAAATATATAAAATATAAAACAATTATTGAGGTAAGCTGAGAACATGTACAATATTAAATCTATAAAAAAATATAAAATAAAATTCAAGAAAAACATATTTTTAACATAAATATAATAAAATCAATATTTGCATGCATGCTAAGCATGTATATAAACTTGTAATAGATATAAGATCAAAGTTCTAATATGCATATTAATTAAAAAAATAACAATACTTAAATTAATATAAAAAATAATATTTACTTATTAAAACACTTTCAATGAATAAAATTTTAGTTCTTGTCAATCATGTATCATTTATTCTTTAAGCCTTCATTATTTATCACTTGTATAACTATAATGTTTGCATCATATCTTTTTATTCATCTTTGTTTATAGTAAATTTTAGAAGCTAAAAGATTAAAGAATTAATTATAACTTTTGATTAATCATTACAAGATCAAAAATTAAATCTAGAAAAAACAAGGGTTCTTTAAGTACGAAAAATAAAAATTATTTATAATTAATTTTTTATTCACTTATAATTTATTTAAATCATGTTAATTAAACAAATCTTTACCATAAAGTATCTGAAACGGTCCTTGCCAAGCAACTGGGGAAGAATTGAAGGGTATGGAAATTAAGAATTTTTTATTTTGATCTCAACTGCTGATTCTAAAGCCATTTTAAGGGTAATGTCAAGGAGTAAGAGCACAAATGACTTGTATATTATTGAAAGAAATAAAATTAGCTCACAAACCATCTCAAAAACGAATACAAATAATAAAAGACTAGAAAAGAATAATAATCCATTGATAACATTATTATGAAAATCAAAACATGATCATCCCAAAAACCCCTACAATGGCCACAATCAACCCATGGTATCTAGAAGCAATGTCGCCTGCTGCTCCGGATGGCGTGGTACCAGTTGGGCTGGGAGAAGGTGATGTTGCCGGAGATCCCAATTGAGGCAACACTGTTATGGAAAGTTTCTGGTTCCCAGACTCGCAGTGTTTGGCCACACCACAAATGTACCATTTTTTTCCAGGAGTTGAGAGTGGAATCACATCATTTCCTGTAGTCAAGGGCACGATATCATCAGCTGCCTTGCACTCTTGGAATCCAGTTCCGTTAACTCTCAACACATTGTGTGCTCCTGGTGTATACTTGAAAACTGCACCAATAAATCAAATTATCAAAACAAAAATAAATAAATAAAATTGCTGAGTTACTATTTAAGGCAGTAGTAGTAAATATATGCATGCAATTTGTTTAGAGGGAGTCGAGTTACCGAGGGTGTCTCCCACGTAAAATGTTTTTCCCTGAGCCCAGGTTTTATAATCAAAGCCTGGTCTCCAACCTGTCTTGTCACCAACCACATGTTCTGTTGCCAAAATTGAAGGAAGAAAGACTGCAACAATGGCAATGATCATGAACATCCCAGAAGAAGCCATTGTTGACAACTTTTTACTGGTTAAGCAATTCTCTCCCTCTTTTCTTCTTTCTTTTTTTATTGACGTTGGTGAGATGTTTCTGCGATGCAATTTGATTGTTACAAAGTGTTCAAAAACTGCTGCCTATATATAGAGTTTCTCACTAGGGGAAAAAATAGTGGGGTCTAAGCTCTGTAACGTACCCATGGCCCGGAAAGGGAGGCAATGGCACCATAAAATTCTTGAATTTGCAGCAATTGGCAGCAACAATATTGCCTAGCAAGTTAATCCTTTTTTAAAAATTAAAAATTAAAAAATTGATGGATCCATTTTACACAGTAAGTTACTCTGCTAAAGGCCATTCAGATACTGTTTGCTACGCATGACTTGTTCAGCAAATGTGGCCATCGTGGACTTAGTTGAGAGGACTTGGACATATCTTGCACGTATTGCCTGCCAAATGTGGAAACGAATGTTATGATTTTGGGCGTTTTCTTGAAGCAAGAGATCGAAAACGAAATGAATGTATACATGTAAAAAGGCAAGGGGAAACAAGCAAGAAAACTTCCTGGCCTTTTGCTTTTCTCTCTCTCTCTCTTTTGTTTTTTCGGGTCAAGCTGTCTTTTGCATTTTTTGAACATGCCTGTTTGTACCATGCTCCTGCCTGGCTTTGGCATTGTCATCGTCGCCGTCCTAAAAGAATCGGTGCAGTATTTGGAATTATAGGTAATTAGCCCATTTCTTCAGTGCATCTAATTCCAATATCCAGACCGAGATGCTGTGGTAACGTCCAGGCCTGAAAGTGGAGATGAAGTATCAGGCCTTACTTTTGTAAGTTGGCCTCCATAAGCTTTGTTTGACGTTGGGCTTTAATTTATGGAATCATTGAACCACCAGTCCCTCCCATTTAATTATCAAGACAAGAAACTTCACATGAAAATCTCAAAAATACAGTTAAAATAAGAAAAAAAAGAAGAAAATCTACAACAAGTTTTTAATGGTTGATAGACTAGTGTTGTAGTGATGGAAAGATCTCTTCAATTTCCTAGCAACCAAACATGCAAGAAGTGGAGCAAGATTTCTTTTATCTTTCTCGTGTAAGCAAATTGTTGTTGAAATCAAATGGTGATATTAGTGTAGTATAAGCTTTCTAAGCCGCAAGATTGTGCTAAGTTTTGCATCACGAGAAATCCCTCATAAGACCCACTTTTTTTCAAGAAAGCATACAGGTCTCCATTTCATCTACCACATAACCCACCAGCTAATTAGCAAGCAGCTGTGGAGCTTCTTTTTCCAACGCTTAAAATTTCTCGTGATGTCTCTTACACTTACAAACTCAATGAAGCACGCAAATTTCCATAAAGAAAAGGATGTAAGAAAATAAACACAAAATAGAGAAACCAAGGCTAAAGATGAGAGGAGGGCTGGACGTAGTTTTGGTGGATTTGATTCGGCTAGTAGGGTTAATAGGGAAGCAAGGAAAGGGGATTTTAGTATCTTCAAGCATATTTTTATGCAAGGGTTACTATTCATTCTGAAAAATAAAAGACCTCTCTAGTTTTAGTTTTTAATAATTGTACCAAAGAAACAGTTTTCTTATAGATTAGACTGCAATCAATCAAATAAGATGAACTCAATTTGCATGTTGTCTCTGTTTTGTTTTGCAGGATTATGAGGACATTCTCCTTCCCAGAGATAAGAAATGCCCTTTTCTCCTCCGATTACCAATCGGTAGCTTTGGTATTCATTATAGAGGGTGGTTGAAATTGTAGTAGCAGGTTTTTTTAAAATGTTTTTTATTTAGAAATATATTAAAATAATATTATTTTTATTTTTTAAATATTATTTTAAACATCAACATATCAAAACAATATAAAAATATAAAAATAAAATAAATTTAAATAAAAATAAATAAATAAATTTTCATGGAAGTGTCTTAGTAGCGAAGCCGTCTTATGGGGTGCACTTGCAGCGAGTCCAGCTACCCAGTTTCTCCGCATAATATCATTCATCAACCTTGCCCTCTGGCTCTTAGCTCTTGCGATCCTAATTTCTGTTTCTTTCACCTACATGCTCAAATGCATAGTCTACTTTGAAGCTGTCAAGAGAGAGTACTTTCACCCTGTCCGTGTCAACTTTTTCTTTGCTCCATGGGTTGTGTGCATGTTCCTGGCCATTAGTGTACCCGCTCTGCTAGCACCTGAAAATTTGCATCCTGCCCGCTGGTGCGCCTTCATGGGACCTTACTTCTTCCTTGAGCTCAAGATCTATGGCCAATGGCTATCAGGTGGAAAGAGGCGTCTTTGCAAGGTAGCTAATCCATCTTCTCATCTCTCTGTAGTTGGAAATTTTGTTGGGGCAATTTTAGCCTCTAGAGTTGGGTGGAAGGAGGCAGCTAAGTTCTTGTGGGCAGTAGGCATTACCTTGTGGTATTCGTCACATTGTATCAGAGATTGCCAACAAGCGAACCATTGGCTAAGGAGCTCCATCCCGTGTACTCTATGTTCATTGCAGCCCCATCTCCTGCAAGCATTGCTTGGGAAACTATATATGGTGATTTTGATGGGCTGTCTAGGACGTACGTATCAACTTTTTCACAGGGTTCGGGTAAGACTGCCCCTATGTTGAATTTCCTTTCCAGGTTTCCAGTTAGTTTCAGGCCTAGATTTACTTGTAGATTATCATTTGTAACTTCACAGTTTTTCAGAGGCATGGTGGTCTTATACCTTCCCCATGACAACAGCATCAATGACAACAATCAAGTACGCAAAGAATGCCCCTGGAGTTCCAAGCGGGGGTCTTGCACTTATTGTCATCAACAATGGTGCTGGTATTATTTGTATCCACCCTTCTGCACGCTTTTTTTTGGCAGACATAATTTCCCAGTGGTCTTGCCATTGCCATAACAAAGAGAAGACTAGTCAAGGAAAAGAAACCCCTCGAGGAAGCCAGTGATAAAAGGCGATGGACAAAGCAGGCTCTGATCAAGCACAATTCGGCAAACATGGATTTTAGTGGAGAGAATGAAATGGGTTGCTAATTCCCATGTAAACGTAATGAAATGGGCTCTTCTTCAAGCACATTACCTCAACATACGTTAACGCCAAATCTAATATAATTTGTAAAGGCTTTGATCATTGTTCATTATGTCATATGGATTGTGAACCAAAAATGAAAGAACTGCAATTTAGAAATACCTCCAAGACACTGCTATCAACTGTATTCTGTATTTTCCACTAACTATTACATGTGTTGTTCATGCAATGCTAAAGAAAAAGTGTGGTGGTATAAGGGTAAGAACGCCTTGATGGCTGTACAACACCGACCATGTAGTAATTTTTATTGGGTTGGGGACAAGCCTACGAAATTGTAGGAGACAGAGGTTAGATTTACACGAACGCGTGACATCAGTTTCTTCCACGGTAAACAATTGACCTCAAACGATACGGACTTCCATGGTTTCCGTATAACAAAAAGATTGATTATTTTTGTCCAAGTGTTCACCCATCATACTCCATTCCCTGTAATTCTCAAATCTCATCGGATGCCCAAGCTCCTGTTGACATTCCAAATTAAATTATCAATGTGGAAATGGAATTAGGGAAAAAAATTGCTGATCTCCATTGACATACCTCCTGATCGATTGGTTTCTGACTTCATTGGTGCCCATATTGCTCCCATATTGAATCTGCTGCTTTCCAACAAATATAGATTGCCTTTCTTTCACCGAATGCACCATCTAAAAGAAGAAAAGAAATAGTTTACAGCTGGAACAAAATGAAAGTAATGCTGCACAGAGAAGGTTCCAAACAGGTGCCATGCTTACCTTCTGCTCTGTTTGGAAGGGATTCAATCTATTTTCTTTTGGACCCTTACGCCAAAGAAACAATTAGAGACATTAAGCAGAGTAGACTTGCAATAATGATATATGTGTGTTTGCTGACAAAGAATTTATAAGGAACAAGGAGAACCTTCGTAGACAGATAGCTTGGTTGAGGAAATTGCAATTGAGATTTGTTATTTGGTTGGAGTTCACTTGTCAGGGAGAGCTGGCATTCACAGGCCAAAAGAATGTGAGCATCTTGGAAAGCATATGAATGCAAACGCTACGATAACAATAATGAGCACTACAACAGAAATAAATGTATGCATCTCTCAAACAGGAGATAGCATAATGATTTTTATTTTTCTTTTAACTACAAGATACAAATTGAAGGGTTACCTTACTGAAAAGATCTATGGGTGGATTATGTTGAAACCTCTTCTCCGTATGAAAATTAAATTCCTGTAATTAACACAATATTCTTTCAAATGATTCTGCATACCAATAATCAGTAGTTCAGTACATATATAGCAACTAGAGCTATCAATGGATTACCATTGGCACCGTGGTTTCCCGAATGCTAGTTTGAAAAACTCCCATTTCTCCTTTACTAGAGAATATCTGCAATCAGAGACAGCAAACAGGTTCACATTTAGTAATTGTTACCACAACATTTAGAGCATAAGATCTACACTATTTTCTCTATTACCTTCTTATTCAGAGGGCGAGCTTTGAATGTATGTGTTGCGCCACATCCATCCTGCTTTGGAGGATTCATGGTGGTTGGTCTGAGCAAAGTAGGAGAAAATTTGAAGCAAGCACTTGAGGGAAATGAACATCTAATGAAAATTGACCATCACCTTCTACTCATTCTGAGGTCAATTAATAAAAAAAAAAATATTACCTTCTGGATTCTGTCTTCACAATTTCTGAAATTGTACTGGGTTTATCCAGCCCCTGTAATAAAGCATTTCAGTCTCCCCATGTTTTAATAATTATGACAAAGAAAGATGATTGCAACCACTAACTAAGACACAGAATACCACCAAAAACAGTTCTCATCATATTATCTACAAGATTTGAACCAGTGACGAAGACTGTTTTCAGTTGGATTAGTAATCATGATTTCAAGGAATCTAAATAAACCTTGTTTGAATCATTGCACTGAAACGAGGAAGATGAAACTGAAGAGTGGTGCTGCATTGCCCTTTCTAATGTCTTCAAGTGAAATTCCTGAGAAGCAATGGAAGCATTTCTCAACGTCAAATACAGGACAAAAGCTCCCTACTTCTGAAGTGTTTGTCTATAGTTGGAGCAGGACCCATATTCTCAGCACTGCTCTACTTATTATAGACAGAAATAGAAACAGGCAGAAGCCAGCTCAAGCACTTACTTGAAACTCTGGCAACTTTGGGGCACTCTTCTTTGGAAGAGGAAATGGAGCCTCAAGAATCTGCAAAACAAAATGATATATATATTTTTATTTTGGGAAAACAAAACAAACTTTTATATATGACATCTCAAACTATTTAACTTGTATACTCACTTTTCGGTTCAATGGGCGTGCTTTGAATCTTCGTGCAGGCGCTGTCATGTATTGCTGTTCTTTGGGCCTGAGTTATAAACATGTCAATTATTTGGCCATCTGTGTTAAAGATACTTGGAACCTCAGAATCTTGAACAGAAGCACAAACCTCATCCTTTGTGCCCTGTGTGCTGTTACAAGGTCAGGTTCTCTTGGAACAGTCAGCCTTAGTTTTGCTTGAGAAGAGATTTTATCAACAAAACCATCCTGCAAGACGAGGTCAAAGCATTTGCTAACTTCATGATGATTTTATCCTGTTATGTAGATTGAATTATACAATCCTCTCTCCAATTCCAAAAGGTCTGAACTTCATCTCTTTTTCACCCCCATTGTTCTGATGATTATAAGTTTTCCTTTTATATAAATATCAAAGCATATAGAAGATCACAGCTAAAAACATAAAAGCTTTGTGCTTGATAGTTCATGACTATTGGTAAAAAATCAAAGCTGTCCTAACCAGTTTATGTTAATACAAGTTAAGATTGTAACTTTTTTTTATGAAACAATGGTGGCGAGCATATTTTCCCCAGAAATTGCATAAAAGTTTTGCAAGTATGCCTTCGGAGTTTAGGATTATGCTTCTAACATTTCTGAGGGTTGATTACAACATAAATTAGCTCAAGTCAACAGAAAAATCATTTTTTTAAGAGTTTGAGGTGTGAAAGACTGGAGATGATTGATCAAGTATGCAATGCATACAAAATGTAACTTGAGGTCCAAATTAAAATAACAAGCATCTACCTTTTTAGATGTCTTGTGGATGAAATCTGTTTGCTGCTTTCCATCACCGATCTGTTATGTAGAACATGTAAATGGACTGGTAAATATTTATAAAAAAAGGAAAACATAACAATACTAAGATTTAGTTCAGGACCCCTGCACTAAATTTAGGGATCAATTTCACTCACAATCCGCAATTCACTAACATGAGCTTCCAAATGTCAAGCCAGGTTCAGTCATTAATAAACAGCCACACCTACATCCTAATCAACTCCTTTAATTTGACAATAGAACATGAGAATGCATGATACGGTAAAACAATTGAAGGAACATTCCCAACAACACGCATCAATGTGGCAACCACTGATCTGCCTGCAACTACATGGTCAAAACCCTCGTATAAATAACAAGAGTTCTTTCTTTTCTTTTCTTTTTTTATTTTTGTGTGTGTTATCAAAAAGTCCATTATTGATCAGCACATATAACTTCATGACAAGTTCTCCAAAATACGAGCAAAAGGAATGGGCAAGAAGATAGATTCACAAAAGCTGTCTACCTTGCAAACGTGACCTCCTTCCAGTTTCTGCCTCTTGGCAGAATGACTTTCAAGTGCAGAAGAATTGCATAAGCTTCTCTCCTTTTGACCCAGCAGTATCTGAAATCTAAAAATTAGAGATGTAATATTAGAAAGCGACTGTATTAAACTGAAAGGTCTCTGATTTTAGCTTCCAGTGAGTTGCTATATGGTAATTGCCTCTAGCTTAAATGCATAGAATATTAAATATTCTTCATAAAAGAAGATGAATGCTTTATGGTATAAACTCACACAACAATCCACATGTTTGCCAAAGTTGTGCTTTTAAAATTGAAAGGGCCATCTAACTAAAACCATAAGAAAAAGGACCAAGACAAGTTCCAAGTTGTAGCTTTATTGGAAAATTTCATAAAATAAAGAAGCATATTTCTTCAACAGTATAACAAGAAACGATAAAAGTTGTTTTCTTAGACCACAAGTAAATAAGAACAAAGAATTTAGTGAGAATCACCTGGAAACACCTATTTGAGTGGGGTGATTTTGCTTAGCCAACTGACTAGCCGTAGGTTTCATCAAAGTTGAACTCCTGGGAAATGTTGGCTTGACAGTGGACTTCACCTTGGGGTTTGATTTATCAGTAGATTTCTGATGGTAAAAGGTCAATCCTGCAAGCAAAAACAAGAATTTTTTGAAAGCTAGCACAGTTTAACCAAAGTTTTGGCAAACTAGCACAAGTTGAAAAGGTATTTAGAAAATAACACAGTTTAGTTAAAGTCGCAGATAGGAACCGCAACTTTGTTAAAGTCACATCTGCGAACAAGACTTTAACCCCTAACCCTAAACTAACTCTAAATAAACCCTAAACTACCCTAACCCCAAATAAATACTAAATTGAAATCAGTATCTCAAACATCAGTTAATAGCTAAAAATAAGAGGAAGAGTGATCTAACTGGAGTAATATTTTAATGCAAGAATAACACAATCATATAATGTTTCTCAAAATAGTTGTTTGCTACTTTTTTTATTCAACTCCAATGATAGGAAGCTTCACTGCATATTTGAGGCTACAAGCCATGGAAAATGGAATATTGATACAAATGAGTGTTGGTATTGCAACATGTATTGATTCTACCATTCAAAAAAATTCAAGGTCTATGCTGTTTTCAAAGAACACTGGTCCTCAGCACTGCTTTTCCAAAAAAAAAACCATGGAGTACTTGGTGTGAAAGTGAAAACAGCTCTATGTGTAATATTTTTCTGACAGAATTATTTTTTACCAAGTCAATCTTGAAAAAATGAAAATGGGATTGGCCAAGCAAGGTTTTATTTCGAGCTCTAGTCATCACAATCTAAAATTTGCTATGGTGAAGTAAAAGTCATAGGGCATGCATAGTCCCTACACAAGCATAATAATTAGTACCTGTATCGTCCACCTCTATTGCAGAGACTTCTGGTCCCATGTCATCGTTAAGCAGAGTGACCCTATTTTCGTCATCCTTAGATTTTGGAGAGGTATTAACATTCTCCAGT